TGTCTGGGACGAGTAGGCAGGGATTTGTGTTGCCGGTTGAATCAGAGGTGACTGGTGTTCCAGGAGGGAGTGATCTAATTCACTGCTTCATTGGCCAGCGCCAGCTTTGGACTTGATCTTTGAGCTGTTTCCCTCTCTTCCCATCTAGTGGTGGTGTCCTGGGCTCCACCGCTACAGGAGGAGATCAGAGAAGTCATTTGGATGTTGAAGTTAGGACTCAGGTGGACCTTAATACAAGAAGAAAAGCCCATTACCCCATCGTCTTCTCATGTGCCCCGTCCTGACGGTGTGGGAACTGCTAATGGCCTCAGTCACCTCCTCAACTTGGCTGCTGTGTGCAGAGAGACCCTCTGCTTCTGGGGCAGTGTCATCCTCGACATGAAGGAGTGGAGGTGTTCTCCTTCGCTAAGCAGGAGAAAAGCCATGAAAGAGAAAGATCTCAGGGCAATGAAGACAAGTGGGGGAGCCACAGTCTGTCCCAGCTGAGTGGAAAGCCCCTGCCACGGAGCTGTGACACCCTGAGGGCTCCCCATGGCCTCAGGCTTCACAGCCCAGCAGGGAAATACATTATTTTTTGATTTTTTTTTTCATATTCTTTGAAAACTTTGAGATTTTTGCAAACCTTGTGTCTCAAAGCAGGACAGCAAATGAGCATCTAAAAACAAAGATCAGCAAATTTCCACTTTCCACCAAGGGATAAATGTTTACCTATTTGACATTAGTTAACACGAAAATTGTGAGTAATCTGTCTAACTTTTTAACAGTGACATATAGAGCTGAATGAAGACTTACAACTAAGCAATCTCAGATGGAAGTTCTCCAAAGATCTTGCATCCGTGCAAGATGTTGGGACAATTTCACAAATACTCTAAGACACTTTTCCAACCTGAGCTTTGGTGTGCTATGCCTTTTCTCACTCACTTCAAGAGTTTTTTGGGTTTTTTTGTTTGTTTCAAAATTATCTGGTGGCTTTTGGGCAAGCAGGCCTTCTGAGGGGGTAGGTTCAACTTTGCCCCATGCCCATGACGTTGGCCATTTGTTGGAAACAGGGCAAAACCTCGAGGCAAACTGGTTTCCTTTGAAACACGGGTTTCTTAAAACCAGAGGGCTTAAATGTTGTCACCGCTGTGGCTGAGGTTACCATAACATTACCGACATGATGTAAAGTTAACGAGAGCAAGCTTTGCTCTCTGCCTGCCTTGTCCTGGAGCTGTTTGCAAGCTGGCTGCTTCCCTGCGCCTGGATCAGTGCCGTTGCGGTTCCCAGGTTCCCAGTTCCCCTCTCGGTCTCTGTCAGTTCCTTTTGCCACCTCCGTTGGGGCGGTCTTCAAATGCACCCCGTTGATGGTGGGCAGCCGTCCTATGTAGAAGAGAGAGAGAGAGGAAAGTGTTTCTTGGGATGTGTGATGGTAGATGTTAGTCTTGGTTGGTCACCTACATGTATGAACCAGACGGTGTGAGGTGATGGGGACTCTGTCTAGGTGAGATCTAGCTATCTTCTTGCAAGAAGTCCAGTCCTTTCTGACTGTGCTGATCCTGAAGATGGCATGGAAGGTAAGGAACGTGCATGGAGAGTTGGAGATTTGCCTTCTGCTCCCAGCTGTGCCACAAGTTGCTGTGGGACAGCAGAAAAATAGCTTAACTTTTCTAAACATGGGCTTCTCTGCCTCTTAAATGGTGACTGTATGGTTTGCATGGTGTTTGGAGACTGTTTTTAAGGTGCAAAGTTAGTGGAGGAGGGAGACCAGTCTCGTCTTGGAGAATATTCAGGGCTCAAAGTGCCACAGCTTGATTTCTGTAGGGCTGGGGTATGATGCATGAGTGAGATGTGGTGGGATAAAGCCCTTCTGCCTGCTTTGCTCAGCTCTTGCTGAGACTGCGCAGAGCAGGAGTGGCAGTCGATCTGGCCACGTTTTCCACACACACTATGCTTTCTGAATAGAGGTGGTTAATGCCTTGTCGAAGGGTGATACTCAGTTGTTGCCTGAGGATGTTCCTCACAGCTGCCGCGGTGTTCTCTGTCCCTGCCTCCTAGGAGCAATATTTCTCAGTGCTTTACATGGAGGCTGAGCAGATGTGTGGGCACCCTGTTGCGTTGCCTGTGGAGCTGCTGTCAGGAGATTTGTGACAATCCAGTGCTGGAAGGTCTCTCGTTATCCTCCCTGCTGTTTTGTCTCCATTGGTCCATCAAAACCCTTCTTTCTTCCCTGGGTGGTGGTTTTGCTCTTTTGAAAGTGTTATTGAGACCTGGGGAGCAGGCAGGGAAACCCACATCTTTTGCAATGTGTTGCTTTGCTTGGAAATGTGCAAAGCAGCCAGCCTCAGTGACGAGGGTGTCCCTGAAGGGTGCTGGGGCATGACCGCTCGCAGCGTTTGCCCCGGGTGTGTTGTGAAACGTGACCGCAGGCAGCTCACCGCACAGCGACTGTGCTGTCCCTCCTACCTGCTCCAAATGCCTTGCACCTTCCAGCGTTGCCAAAGCAGCTCTTGGTTTAACAGCTCTGCTACTGGGAGCCCAACTGGAGGTAAATGACGAAGGGACAGATTTTTTTTTTTTTGCAGAGTGGCTCAACACCCTCATCAGCCATTGCAAAGCATTGATTAAAAACCTTGACCTCAACATTTGTTTTTCTCAGTGTTCTTGAGATGCTCAACAGAGCTCCTTGGAAAGTCTGATTACATCCTCCAGAACTGTCCCCTGCCTTGTCATTTTGCTCAACGTGGGTGGGAAGGAAGGGAGAGTTTGGGGAAGAAACAGTGGAATAGGTTGAAAATTTTCTGCTCGGTTGCGGTGGACAAACTGCGTCCTCTCCCATGAAAGATGCTTCCATAAGCACTGCCTTAGGAGAAGAGGTTTAGATTCATGTGTGGTCCATAGCACACCAGGGGAAAAAAAAACAACCCCAAAGACTATGTTTTGTGGTTTGAAAGTTATGTTATATTGGTCATATTTTGTCCTTAAATTCCCTGCCTGTTTGGGATATGAGAGGTGTCGGGAAGGGGTGGCTGCGCTGGTGCAGGGCTCACCCCGAGCGTGCGGTGAGGAACGTGTTCCCCTCCAAGGATCGAGCTGTGCTCTCAAACAAGCTGACGTGCAGGGAGGTGTATTTTTGTGAGCTGGGTGTTGTAAAGGGTGCTCATGAGTCATGCCGTGCTCTTAGTCACTGCTTTCCTCTTGCCACAAGTCATGACTAAGGTGCTGATGGGCAGATTCCCCGCTCATTCAGTCCTCGGCACCGCTGCGGAGTGTTTCTTGTGTGTTCCTTGTGCACCCACTGTGGATGGATAAAACTTTTGAAGACAATAATAACAGGCTGTGGCAGCAGGACACCAGAGGCAGGAGCCCATGAGCCTCTTTGGGGTGAAGGAGAGAGCTTGCATTTGGCAGGTCAGTGTTTCCTTGTTGGGGGTTTGCTCTCACCTGTTTGGAGCCATTGGTGGCTTCTCACCAGCACAGGAAGGACTGAGGAGCAGGGCTGGAGCTGGCCTCACCGCTCCCTTGGCTTTTGGGGAGCCCCAGCAGCCAGGCATGGCTTTACTGAGCCCTCTGGGGCAACTTCCAGGAACGAAGTGTGGGTGGAGGTGGCCATGCTGGGTGCACCAAGCAGAGGGGACCGGGTGGAGCCTCTGCTGAGATCACAGTGGCTTTTGCTCCTGCCGGGGTGGAGGTGGCGAGCTGTGATGGGCGCAGCTCAGTACTGAGCGTCAAACGTTGGCCAAATAAGCAGAGAATCAAGCATTCTGAGGTAGCTTCGGGACCTACATGAATGTGTGGCAGAAGTACAGGAATGTGCTGTCTGGGATGCAAGCAAAGGCCTCTTTGACAGGTGGTTTTTGTAGTGTTAGCAGGTTTTATGTCTTCTTCCTTGATTCCTTTTGTGCATTTGTGTTGACTCTAACCAAGAGACGAAGAGTCTGTGGGACGGACCCATCTCTATGCTTTGGGAGAGGAGAGAGACACCCACCCCAGGGTCCCCCCCGGCACCGGGCTGGCACTGCAGGGCAGGAGGGAATCTCTGCCCGGGCACCTCTTTGCTGATGGTCAGGGCAGATCTGAGAAGTAAATCTGGGCAAGTTGCTTTTATTTTCATTGTGTCCCAAACAGATGCATATGAAGTGGGTGGGATAAAATCTTCCTGCCCCCGGCACAGTCTCTGCCAGCCCAGGGTTTAGGTTTGCACCCCGAGCCGTGGAGGAGAGGTGAGATGCACAGAGCTGTGTTGTGAAAAGGTTGCGGCCAGGCAGGCAATCCGCAGTTGCACAATGTCCTCGGGTGTTGGGGCTGAGGTCCCCTCTGTATTTTCCTGCATTGCCACAAGGGCACGTGGACCTTTTCTTTGTGTCAGCTGTGTGGCAGTGCTGGAGGCTTTCCTGGCTGGTACAGGGCTGGCATTTGGGAGTGGGTTTCTGGCCATCGCCAGTGGACTCCACAGCTGTCAAGGACAATTCATGCCTAACGTAAGGAGCAGGAGCTTGGGCTCTCCTGTCAGTTTTCCCAGGCTAGACCAGATGTTCTTTTGAGATCCCTTCCAGCCTGGACTGATGTATGATTCCCATCCGAGCCCATTGCAAGGTGCTGCAGCTGCAATCTCTTGCAGTGTTATCTTTGATGGAGGCTAACCCAAGATTACCTCCTTGCCACAAACACGTGAGCAAGACTTGATCTGTCCCGCAGACGGAAGTCATGAGAAGGCAGATATGCCTGCAGCAGGTCAGGGGCAGGGTGCCTTGGCCCCACAGCCTCTCATGATCCGGTCGTGGATGTGTGCACCTCCTTTTCTTTGCCAAGGTTGGGAGGGGTTGGGGGAGCAGTGGGGAAGATGTCAGCGAGCGGAGCATGGTGCATCATTGGCTTTGGGGTTGGCAAGGGTGACAGGACACAGTAATGGGGTGGTGTCTGCACTACAGTAGAAGAGTTGCAGTGCTCTCCTCCTTGCACTTAACTATAAGGGCCTGGTGTACTAAATTTCTGCCTTCTTTTGCTTTAGGAGATGAATTAAAATGCAGCACACCACGTGCACAGAGGACAGGATCTACCACGCACTGGAAAGATGTCTACACGGGCTTAGCAGAGATGCTGTCTCCAGCAGATGGGCTGGTAGGTGACATGTTAACCAAACACTTGTTCTTCTGTCTCTGCACGATCCGCTGACCTACCTGGGCACCTGGATAAGAGAGAGCTGTGGGTGCTACTGGAGGCTTGGAGGTCTTTTCTTCCTTCCAACGTTCGGAGTTAGAGGTAGGATCCAACCTAGCCAGTCTTTCCAAGCCTCTTGTTGCTGTAGGAAGATGTACCAAGGTGCTGAACAAATCGTGTTAGTTCTTACATGTGTAAAGACTGAGCAGAGAAGTTGTGCGTCTTGCCAGTTGTCCATGCATGAGATGGAGAGAGGAGGAGTCTTTGTTCACCATGAGCAAAGACTCCTTTGTGTAATCAGGCAGCCTAGCCTTGCTTTGATGCGTATAGTCCTCAAAACCCATGGGCGTAATCTCTGCCGCATTGTCAGAAGCAAGTGTGGAGATATTGTTATCGACGTTACTTAAATCTAGATCAGATACCATAGTGGCCATAAAGATGTGAGCCATGTTCAGAGGCCTACGAAGGGATTTGGGATGGCAGTGGTGAGGACAGAGCAGCAACAAGCAGAGGTAATTTTTGAATGTCGTTTTGACCTCCCTTCCTCGTACTCGCACTTGTAGACTGCAATTAAATCACTCCCAAATCGTCTTGCAGATGAAAGAAATGAAATTAATTTCGGGGGCTGTCAGATTCAGAGTTCCTACTGTCTGTGCAGTTCTTCCAAATCCCTCTGCTTCTCTGTTTACCTTTGAGTCAACACAGAGATGCAAACGATATCCTCCCTGCTGCCAAGTACTGGAGTAAGCCCTTTCGCTGTGCCCATTTCCTCATACCCACCAGAGCGATGCCAGCTCCCCGTGCTGTCACATCACCCTGGGGCTTAGTTTGTGCAGTTATGACCAGGGCTCCTGGGTGCTTTTTGTCTCCCCACATTCTGGGAAACAGGCCCCGAAGTGTGACCTACATTCCTGGTTCCTGGAAGCGCGACCTCGTGTTTGGCACCGTTACACTGCGTGTCCAGAGGAGTTCATCTCGCCAAGCAATTCATTGTGCACCGCAGAACTCACCTCTTCCTGTAATTATAATTAATCAATTCCCATGTCATTCACAAACTCTGCCTTTCTCTAATCCCAGCCCCTCAGCGCTGGTGTTCGTGTTACGGTAGCGTTTAAAAAATGATTTCATAAGTTTTCCGGCTCATTAGCAAAGACCAGACTGTACGGGGCAGGGGTTGGGCGGTGGTGGGCTCTGTTGGAAGCATCTGTGCTGCCCAGTGATTCCTCATTCCTGACGATTTTCCCCCGTCTCTCCGCCCGCTGGCTTTCAGTCCTCTTCATGTGGGTTTTGTGGGCTTTG